GAGTTCTTTGGGCTAGGCCTGACATCAATCTTCTCAGACTGACCACTAGTTCCAGGCACAGATATTCACTATCTTCTGGAATGATTAGGGATGTGCCAGCTTTCTCCGCTTATCTCCAGAGCATTGCTCTGGAGACGAGAGCACCGTTTTCACCCCCCTTTCTCCATTCCAGTCCATCACAGTTGGCTCTTTGAGATAAGAAAAAAAAACTTGAAATAGCAAGACAGCGGATTGGGTGCAGTGCCAAAACAGCTGAACTAGAAACTGGGAGGCTGCAAGTTATAGGCCTCCCTTAGGCAGAAAAGCCGGCTGGGTGACTTTGGGCCCATCACCCTCCCTCAGCCCATCCCACCTCCCAGGGTTATTGCTGGGGGAAAATGGGGGGCAGGAGCCTCAGTTATGGCACCTTAAAGGCAGGATATAAATCTAATAATAAATAAAGGACTCTTTGGCAAGGTTTCCATTTTGACTTTTTTCTTTGAGCCCCACCGGCTCTTCCTTCCCACGCCTCTCTCGCATTTCGCTTTCCCCTCCTTCCTGGGGCTCCTCTTCCTCGGAGCCTCTTAGACCTTCTTCACTCCCTTGGTGGACCTGGCGCTCTTCCGCCCTTTCCAAGCCCCCCGCTCCATCTGCCCGGGATGGCGTGAGGATCCCTGCGGTGGGCAAGGGGGTGGACTCGATGACCTCTTAGGTCGCTCCCAAAGTGCCCACTGGAAAAACTTTCCCAGGCTGGAAAAACTCGGAAACAGAGGTATCTTCAGCTCTTGAGCAAAAAAGCGCGCGGCTCCTGCTTTACACACCCCAATTAGGAATATATTTTACCCAGATCCCCGCCCGCTTCTGTCCTGTCAATGACTGGCCGAACCACCGCCCTCGTCCGCCCCTCTCCCGCTCCCCTCCTGGCCCCGGCCCGCCCCCGAGCCAGCTTCCCAGAGGAGGCCGGCGCCTCGCAGCGCCTCACCTCCCGCCGCACGTTCAGCAACGAATAATAGTCCTCATTGTCCGGTGCTTCATCGCCCGAAGAGGCCGCCGCCATCTTGCCGACCTTTTACCTCCGCGCGCACATGCGCCGGAATGAAAGCGGCCGCCCGCCCGCCCAGCCGCTCTAGGAAAAGAACGGGAGAGCAAGAGGCCGCCTCTCAGAGCGCCCTCCGCAGGCGAGATTACAAGCTCGGCGAGCCGCGGAGGAACTCTAGCGAGCGCGCGAGACTTAGAAGAGCGGCGCCTGCGCAGAATCGGAAAACCGGCGGCTGGCAGCGGCGCGCGCGCAGAAGCGATCGAAGAGGGGACTGCGAGAAGGACGGCCGGGAACTTTTGAAGGAGGCGCCGCGTGAGCTTTGGTGCGCATGCGCCGTATTTGGTGGCCCGCGCCTGAGACAGGAGGAAAACCCCGCCTACATGTGGGCGGGGCTACGCGCTGCCTGTCTTGGGGGTTGCGGAGCGTGGCGGCAGCTGGGGCAGTCAGCAGCGCGGAAAATGCAATAAATATGATATTTATACATAAATATATAATAGTTATATATTTTGTATCTATATAAAATATTTAGTTATTATATATTATATATTAATAATAAGCCCTTGGGAAGGACTCAATAGATGGATAAAAATGCCAAATCCAGTCTAAACATATGGCTGACTGTGCGATTAACAATCATAATATCACTGATGTCAAGGCAGACTTCCTTTGCTCAGGCTGAGGCTGCAATACTTTAATTTGGATTTCTACCTGGCGGGCAGGGCAGGAAGGATGGGGCAGCCTCCATAATTAACCAACATATGTGCCTATTAAGTATAATAAGTACCAGAAGTATACTAGAACAGGAAATAGCAACCTCGTACATAGAAGGAGAGCCATGTTGGTCTGTGGGGGCAAAAAATCGGGAGTCTGGGGGCACTTTTCCAATGGACAAATTGTATTAAAATAAAATTTGTCCGTCAGAAAAGGCAGAACCATTTCCTGATTTATTTTTTTTTGCCGCTAAGTGGGAACCTTCACAACTAGATGCAGGACTGTGTTTGTCAACCTTGGCACCTGCGTGGACTTCAACTCCCAGCATTCCCTAGCCAACTCCCAGCATTCCCT